TAATTTTTATAAATAATAGCAATAAGATAGAACGTGCAAATAACCTTCCAGGAAAGCAATAGTTGTAAGGTTTCCTTGCAAATTGTGTTTTTAACTAATTTTAAAAGGGTATTAGTTTCGATTTTCTAACTTCTCATTGATATTATTTAGTGTCATGATGTCACCCTGCAAGATAATAGGCCTAATTCTCCTCTTATTTCACCAAAGTTATTCTTGATGTAAAGGGGTATGAGAGGAAAATCATGTTTTTACAGTATAACGTAGAAACAGTGAGAGAACATAATTAGAATTCCAGCTCCCTCTTTTGTGCTCTCCAACCAGGTGTAAATTAGCATTGAAAAATATTCAGGCCACGCAAGTGTTCCTGTAAATCTGATTATTTGTACTAAGAGTGTGGTTGATCCAAGCATGGGAGTGTAAGTAGTGGCCAAAGGAGCATCCATCACATCCAACCTCAATCATATGGATCACACTCCTTCTCCATAAGCCCTGACTTGGCATTCACCGACCAAGGCTCAGTATGTGGAAGAACGAAGCAGACCCTCTGAACAGTGAACAGTTCTGGTTTCTGTGGAGCCAGGATTGAGGCCTGACTTCTTGTGATTTATGGTTTCCTTTGTGTTCAAGGTTTTGGTCCCATGATGACTGGTCAGTTTAACAAGCACATACCCCAGCATACTGTTGAGAGCACTGGACAACTGGAAGTTCTAAAGCAGATACTTTGGTCCATCTGAACTTGGCATAGAACAAGTTGAATGAGGGATTGCAAAAAGTGGCTTAAACTTCCCCTTTCTATTTACCTTCTCCTGGAACTATTGAGTGCAAGGCTGGTCAAAGCAGCTACTAAAGATTTCAAGAAGCTGCAACCACAGCAGGAGGCTGAGGCAGTGTAAGAGCATCCTAATCATGCCCCTCTCCTATAACCACACCTTGTTTGGAAGCTACATTCCTCTTGCACTAGCATGGCCCTTTGAGTCTGGTTATGGTGACTACACAGCCAGAATCTGCCGGACATATGGCACAAAGCGGTGTTTTGATTTTTTTTTTGTAAAAGCAGTGTTGTTAATTCCAATCTTCTAGCCTAGTTCCAATGTGGGAAACTCAAGAACAGATGCTGATGATCCTACTAACAACATCTTTTTCTATAAGTAGTCTCCATAAGGTTGCCAACTTTGTAATATTTAAGAACCGGACACTCCAGCAGGAGTGCTGGAAGCTCCCTTTCCCCCTGAGGACCCGCCCCTACGCCGCCCCTTACCCCAGGCCTCACCCCTGCTCCACCTCTTCCCCCAAGGCCCCGCTCCTGCCCTGCCGCTTCCCACTGTGAGGCCCCACCTCCTGTTTGCTCCTCTTTTCCCCCTTCCCTCTGTCGCTCACTACTTTTCCCCCTCTCCCTGCATGGGTCAGGAGGGACTTGCCGGCAGAGCTGGGGTTGGAAGCTGCAGCTGCCTGATGCAAGTGGGAGGTGGCCCTGGCTGAGTAGGGGCTGGCCCGGTTGATGACCGTGTGCCTCCCCCACCCACAGTAACCAGACTTGGGGTGTCGGGTCAGTAGATCTGACCAGACACCCTCAAATCCCCTTTCAACCGGACTTTCCGGTAGAAAACCGGACATCTGGCCACATTAAGTCTCAATGATTTCAGTGGGCCTGTTCATGGCATAAGGGTCTATTCAGGTTGGGGAAGGGTTTCCAAATCTCGCACACAGTTTACATACCATCTACCTAATATTTCCCTTGTAGTTGCATTTCCTATCCTGCACTTCTTTTGTGCAGTGTTTAACCCCAGAGGAAACTACATTTCAGTGAGATGTGAAGTGATTCTTGGGTGTATCTGTAAGTCTGTAAATCACTTCAGAAAGCCAAGAGTCACTCTGGCTAAAATACACTATAAATTCAAATCAATATTATCATTCCAAGAAGTTTTTAGATAGGATATTGCTGTTCAGAGATCATGGGGTGTTCTTAGAAATAAATATTTAATATATTTTAAAATATTACATTTTGAAATTTGTGAACAAATACTTTACATAATGAGAACATCAGCTCTAGACCCCACAACAGTACACATGGCAAAGAAGTCACAATAGGCTTCCTCTTATTAATGGGACAGCCACTGAAAGGGTAAAATATTCCATCCTAAAATCTGTCATTGGCATTTCAGGAAAAAGAGGAGGATGGGGTGTATTTTAGTTGCAGTACAGCAACTAACCTGTGCCTATAAAAGGCATCTGCCTCGATTTTAGATCTGACTTTCTGTTTTAGAATAAACTGGGGGTTCATAAACTAAATAGCTTGCGGGGAGGGGAAAAAGTCAAGCTTACCAAGAACTGCTTGTCATACCCTATTAGCTCTTTTTCTGGCTAACTAAGAGAGATCTGCATGGGCTTTAATGGATTACTGGTTAACCTAGACATGTATGATTTGAATCTCAATACAGATTCTTTAAAATGAAGAATTAGAGTGGTACTGCATCCAAAGCGAAGTTAGCATTTCTTAAAGTTAGCATTACTTAAAGAAGCATATGTGGACTCTGCTCTTTACTAGAAAATTCACTTTCAAGTCCCTCACACAAATAATACAGTTCTGCTGTTGCTTTAAGAAGGAGGTGGATGACTTTCATGACAAAGCAGACCTAGATTCTCGGCTTCTCCTAATCCTATAGATTTTAAGAGCAGGAAGATAGTTTGTCTAGAGGCTTAAAACTTTTGACAGGCTAATAAGGATTTGTTAACCTTAGACAACAGTATTACTTAATATGAATACACTAAGCTCAACAATATGGTATACACAGTATTACTTAAAAAGAAAAGGAGTACTTGTGGCACCTTAGAGACTAACAAATTTATCTGAGCATAAGCTTTCGTGAGCTACAGCTCACTTCATCCGATGCATTCAGTTTTTTTCCACTGAATGCATCCGATGAAGTGAGCTGTAGCTCAGGAAAGCTTATGCTCAAATAAATTGGTTAGTCTCTAAGGTGCCACAAGTACTCCTTTTCTTTTTGCGAATACAAACTAACATGGCTGCTACTCTGAAAACAGTATTACTTGTCTCAAAATGCCATTAAAGTACTTGATCCATGTATAGAATTGTTTTCGTAAACTGTTTCTAGTTGTGCTTTGCTTAAAAGCCAATATTTTTCTAGTTTATATTCCAAGTTCAGAAAAGATCCCCCTCTGATGCTGTATGTGTTTCGAGGTCTGAGTTTTTCAAACTAATTTTAAAATGTAAAATATGTGAATTGAATGTAAATAGGTGGAAATCCAATAAAGGAATCAAAAGTTTAAAGGAAATTTGGGAGTGCAAATAGATTTCATTTGTATTTAGTGTAAATGTCTCCACTGCATATCGGTATATTTTGTGCAGCTCCCACAGAAAGGGTGTAACACGTATGTATGGCTTCCAAAAGGACTGCTAAGAGACTCATTCACCTTCACGTTATTCCAGTTTTCTGCAAGTGTAACTCCACTGAAATCACTGGTGCACAACTGGAGTAATGCAATGGTAAACCAGGCCTTAACTTTTTTATTTTTGGGTTCTTTCAAGTAGGCTATTTTAATCCAGTAAAGTGAGAGATAGTAGTTGACACAGTAAAGAAAAAGGTGTTAAGAGAATCTCTTCACAAAATAATAAATAATGTGATCCAATATATGTACATAAGCTGCCTTATTGATATAAGTAAAAACTCAACTACCTGTTTGAGGATATCTTGAAACAGGTGTGGTACAGCCTGTTCACATATTACTTAATGTGTAAGTTGCCCATAAAAGACGGTGGTCCTTGCTCTGTCTAGATTTTTCTTTATTGCATCCATAACTATGTTATCAAAACACTGCTTAGAATATGATTTGCTCTGTTCTGGGCTAGTTGTTTCTTATACCTTCAGAAGTTTAAAAAATGTTTTTAGAAATAGATATATCAAACAAAGCACTCTTAGGAGGGAGAAATTTCTAAAACAGCTTTAATTTCCATACCCTTTTGTGCAATGTGACACTTGGGGACTGCTTCTATTGTTTTGTAGTTTAAAGTGGGGAGAAGAAACCGTTCCCTTGGTTTTGTTTCTGGAACCTGAGAGGAGCAGCAGCTATTGGGTGTAATACATTCATGCAAATGACCTTTCAGAATGCATGTGTAAGTGTAAAACTGCCTTGTGTGCTCTGCTCTGTGCCTGTGACTTATCCTGCTGAGCTTGCTTCTGGTGCTGTCTCAGAGAAAGAAAGGTATGGGAAAGGGTTAACTTCTTACTACCAACCACTGAAAGGCACATTTGCAATTGCTCCCGGTCTGGTCTTCCTTTTTGCACCTCATTCGCTCACTGCTGCGCTTCACTTCGAGGCAGATCCTTTGACCTAAACAGATTATTGTGGACGCAGGAAGGACACAGCAAGCTGTCCGTGCTTTTCAAGGAGGAGATTTGGCTCCAAAATAGGACACTAAGCCTTTCAGACTTATGCCTATTTACCTAGTCAGCTCGATGCAGTGTTTCTGGGTGCTTAGTGGACTCCTGTGGAATCAACCAGGAAACAAAAGCAGAAGTGGCAGCCGCTGCAAATGTGGGAGTCTGTGCCATTAAAGGGAAGCAGTTGCTAATAAGGGCCTGTGAGACCTAGGTTTCCTTGGTTTCCATGACAGTTATTAGGAAGCATAGAAATTGAATGGTCTCCCACAATGCTCTAGGGGGGAGAAAGGGGTGCACCAGTGACAAGGCAGAGTAGTTATTACTCACAGTAACTCGTCTGTCTGAGAATGCAAAACTCTCTGGATTATTATGTTGTGCAGTTTTTTTTCTTTCCCAAATGTGGTTTGCTTTACTTTTTTGATGGAAGACTGGCTTGTGCTACAGTGTCTCAAATACTATTTTCCCCTTTTTATTTAGAAACTGAGCTTGGCAAAGCCAGGATATGAACAATTATACAGGTGGGCTACTCAGGGGGAGTGAAGATATAAGGCATCCAATCAGGTATTGGCAACCTGCAGCACTGTCAAAATGCCCCTCCAACAGATTTCTGTAGTCCCAGCGCGGGAGACCGCCAGCAATGGGAGAAGTTCAATGGGCAGAAACAAAGAGAAGAGCAAGGAAGTCGAGGTAAGAGGAAGGTTTTGATTTGATACAATAGGAAAAGCCAATCCACAGTAGCTAGCATTTCTGTCTGCTCAACAGGATGTACTGTGCTGTAGCTTTGGACCAGCACTACACATGATCACAGCATGCTTTAGTAGACCGAAATTGAATTCCTATAAAACTAATAACAATATACTAAAATGCATCTCTGAATTGGGGGGGGGGGGCGGATTATAAATATTTCTTATTGCTGAAAGAGGAGGATGCAAATTGCAGTGCCAGTAGCATGGTTTTTGTTACGATTCATTTAAATATTTAAATGTTTAACTCCTTTGAGGTATGTAGCCCACTAGCATTGAAAGACAATGGATACACGTGCAGATTTTCAGATGTCAAGGCAGTTTGAACATTTTAGTTTCTTGTTCCCAGTTCTTGGGGGGGGGGGGGGGGGGGGAGAAGGAATAGTCTAGAAAGAGTCCTCTTTAAGGTAAAACATTTATTATGTTAACGTTAACGTCTGTTTCACTAATATGCATGTACTCCTTGTGTTAAATATAGGCACAAATTCTATAGCCTACAAATTAGTCTACATTTTCATTTAAAATGCATCCGTTTGTTTTGTTTTTCATCCATTGTCCCCTGCCTTTCATGAAAAAGATGATTAAAAAGCAACAAATATTATTCCACCAGTATTAATAATCAGGTTTCGCCTATTTAAGAGAATATTCTTGGATCATAATATAATGAAAAAGTAAAAATGTAAATGTAAATAAAATGTAAATATCTCCACAATTGTTTCTAAGTTTTGAAAAGCGTTTTGTGCGTGGGCGGCAGAGATTCTAGCTTAAAATACCTATCAGGAGTAGGTGACACCTTACAAAACAGCGAGGCTGAGACGATATGAAAAATAAATACTGTAGCAGCTAAAGCTGCCCAGCCCCCTTAAACAATTTTTGCTTGGTATATATTCCCAATTAATCTTTAACAAACATTTTTTCTGTTCTGGATATTAATCTTTCTATCTGGAAAACAAGTGTGGGTGTGGAGAAAACAAATGAGAATATTTTAATGATGAACTGGGAGAAAAGTAATAAAGTTCACTGAATTTCCAAAGAGAAGTGGTATTTACAACCTCCCTTTTTTAATCATTTGTATGACTTTGTTCTCAATAAATAATTTTAGAGACTAACAGATGACTGATGTTTCCAGGGTTGTGTGTGATGGTGGAAAATACTGGTTAATTTATTGACTGATTTTAGACTGAGAAACTCTTTTGGTCTGGTAATTGGCTTAAGACAAATGTAGCAGTCGTTGTTTTCTGATTTTAAATTTCAGTGAAGAATATCCTTGACAATGTCTTTCCTCTAGAAGTGAAAAAAAGTATCTTTTTCCAAATGCACTGTGCTAATCAGTGTTTATCAAACTTGATAATGCCTAGCGTTTTCTGTGCTTGGAACACATTTTAATTTTTTCCATAATAGTGATCAAGATTGAAGTGGAAGGTGTTCAAATTAAGATTTCATATATGAAAATCTAACATGTAAAATGATACATAGAATAAATTAACTTTCTTTAATTTTTGATTTAAATTATTTTTGACAGAGTAACACATTTGTTTAACGTCCACACAGAGTTAATTAAAATCAGTAGAATTGTCTTGTGCTCCACTGTGGGTGATTTTTGTCCGGTGAAGGGCTGAATCAAATCATTTTGGAAAGAATCAGATGCCTCTGAGTACAAATGTTTGCTGGTTTTCATACAGATGTGTAATTGGGAAGAGCACACTAGTTTGCAGAATTTATTAGGTTCATGAAAGTTTAATTAGTTTTTACTTTTTTTTTTTTTTTTTTACAAAAAATTGTGCCTGTTGCAGAGTATTGGTTAAAATGCATATTCAAAACTGCCCTCTGCTGGACAGCATGTCTGATCTGCTCAACTATATGGTCCTCCCTCTGTCCCGTGGCCACAATTTATGCAGGATAAAAGACCTAACACTACTAACTGCTAGTGGAGATTCTCCTTTAGATCATGTGGTAGGGATGTCTTTCCAGAGCTGAAGGCCGTTGAACAGGGCAATTGAAACTGTTCAGATAAAACCCTAAGCATATCTGAAATGTATGCTTGGTTTTGATTCTTCTGTGTTTGTGGGTATCTGATAAGGTTCACCAGCATTGTGCTGAAGTGGGCTAATATTTGGGTTCACAGAAAAGGTCTTTTGTCCTGCCAGCTGTTCTCTCTCTCTATCCTCTGTTCTCTCTCTCTATCCTCTGTTCTCTCCCACTCTCACCTAGAAACCTTCCTCAATCCCATCCCAATCCACATCTTATTTTTGTCTCCAGTAGCAGCCTTCCCCTCCTGCTAGGCTCAAGAGGTATATTGATACCCTCTATCCTTCCTCTGGGTTTTTAGGAGCCTCTGAGTAGCTGCTTCCCCTCCTTTTCCACCAGCAGGTTGTGTTTTTTATTTGTTGGGAAAGTGTCTTTGAAAGCCACTGTCCTCTAACCATCAGAAAGATCTTCTTGGGTGGTAGAACCAGAAGGCTAGTTTAGTAGAACAGGGAAATGCGCTCTCTTATTCCCTGAGTAGAGTCCGAAAGATGCTCTGTAATCCCTGGCTACTATGTGTGCATAAAAGGTGGTCTAACAAGTGGTTGGTAGGGAATTCCCTTGGGTTCCCCAATTGCTGCATTAGAGATGATGGCGGAACCTTTCAGTTCCTGTCTGTTCACGTGGCTGGCTGCAGTGAGAGAAGCCTCACAGTGTGTAATAGTGTGAAGGGCAGCTGTATACTGGTTAAGCCAACAGAAGGACCTCAGAACTATACAAAGTTCAAGACCTACTGCTGCATGTTTCTAGTCTCTCCTGGGAGCACTTCCCTCGAATGTTTTATTTCAGTAAAGGATTTTTCACTTTTAAGACAGGTGGTTGGCTGATACTGAGACATTCTCAATAATATCATTAAGCGCAGGGTTACTTAGAGCCCTCAACCACATGAATATTCTCGCAATATTGGGAGCACCAACACAGCATACACATATGAGGATATGTTTGCAATGTGGTCTGCCTCTTGAGAGCGTGATGTGCAATTTCTTTGTGGGAGTAAAAGTGTGGGTGCAATTCAAAGATGCTCAACTTTTTTTTAGCCACATAACACATTTTCTGGTCAGCTTGTCTCACTGTGTATTGTTGAAGTCATGGCTAGCAGTAGGGTTCTACGTAAAATGTAAATAATAAAGAGCCAGGTCCATTCTTCGTGCACACTGTGCAGTTCAGGAGAAAAGTGGAGGACAAAAGTGGCTTTGGGCCACTTTTGCACTACCATCCTAATCCTGAGGCCACGGGACACTGGTATTGTTCTGAGAAGCAATTTATCGTAGCCTGAAGGCTCCCCAAGGGACTATTCGGACAGCCAGGGATTTTCAGGGAATGGGGGGGAGACAATCACACCCTCTTTTCCACAGCCAATCCCATGTGCTTGTGGCATGGAGAGGTGGGTTTTACCGGCGCTACTACAATAGCTGTGTACTACATCTCCTCAAGGCAAGGAGAATCTTCCACTAGCTTTAGGGCAGCTTTGCATTCAGGAATGCAGGACAGGCTCTGGCCCAAAAGGTTTAGTTGAGCAAGTTTTACATGTCCTCCTTCTCAATCTATTCCTCCACCAACACTGTGTAAAAAAGGGTACTTGCAAATAATGAGGAATGAATTGGTGGTTGTAGACAGCCCTTGTAAAACTTGTAAGTGTGTTTTTTATATTCCATGGTTACACTGATTTTTTGCAATGTACATTTTTCTGAAAAGCTGGAGTGCAAATAAATATTTTGCCTTTACGCCTGTGTATGAGAACAAGCCAAATTCTTTCTGGATGTAATTCCATTGGCTTCAGGGAAATTGCAAGACAGATGAATTTGCTACTATATATTTTAGGCCCTGAGAGACCTATAGTTATATTAGAATTCTGATTTATATACAGAATATAAAATTTCTGGGCACTCATTTCAACCCCCCCCCCCAAAACTCTAAGTAAACAAAAACCCCTAGGTATGCCTAACTTGTATGTGCAGCATCCCACATGCGAATGGGAAAACACTAAAGCCTACGTTTTCAGAGGAGTCCAGTTATGTTTTAGGCCTCTGTGTGTGTTTGTCCCAACTGAACTGTTAAAATCAATTGAAGCTGTGACTCCACAACACTCCTAAAAATCAGGGCCCCGCTATCTGATGTTGAGCACCGTAAACTTGTCAAAACTTTTGAAAATCTAGGCATCAATGAGTTGAGATGGGCAGAATAGACCTCCTAATGATAGTACTTGTGTAGCTGTGCTGGAGAGCTGTTGGGCTTCCTTTCCTGTGATGCCAGGTTAAAGAAGTGCTATGGATGTGTCTCCAAAAACCCAGGGTAGATGAGCAAGAGATGCTTACATTCCCTTATGATAAATTCTTTTGACTAACCGGGGGCCGACGCTTAGGGTTACCCATAAGGAGTCTCCATCTGTGCCTGACTTTGCACAGGCATGGATTGCCCCCAGGGAGGAAAAAAGAGCTTGAAAATGTCATTTGTATGTGTTAGAGTAGTTTAGCCAAAGCAAGTAAATGAAGCTTATCTGACACAATATGTAACACCAATATAGAGCTTACAGAGAATAGCAAGCTACTGCTGCTACTGTGGGAAACAAACTCTCCCTCTTTTTCTTTACTGGGTGAATGTATGAATTGTGATTATAAAGGATAACGATAAGTAGCATGATATGACCAGAAAAAATGGTAAACACAACCAAACCAAATTTTTTCCTTGGCATTGATACATTTTGTACCTATCTTCTACATTTGTGACTCAGCTAATATTTTCTGGAAATAGAATATTGCAGGACATATAACATTAAAATGATTAACATAATGACTGCCCATCAGCATACATCAAAAATAACATGAGCTTATTTCTGAGTAACCGCATATGAAAAGATAACCTTGATACGTACAGTAAGAAAATGATAGACATCAGTCAGTCAATCTTGTGATCTACCGC